GAAGTCTATACCTGCAGAAAGGGGACGGATCAGAAAGTCTCAGGAATATAAGGGGAAATGCAGAAACATCCGAAATTTCAAAAGAAAGAAAACAATAAAAACCCAGAAAATAATTATCATTATCATTTCTAATATTTATAGAGTGCTTACTGTGCACCAGGCACTGTGCCTAGTGCTTTACAATTATTATCTCATTTGATCCTTATAACAACCTTGAGAGGTAGTTGCTATTATCACCCTCATTTCGAAGATGAGGAAACTGAGGCAAACGGGAGTTAAATGACTTGCCCAGGGCCCTGCAGCTAATCCTTGTCTGAGGCTAGATTTGAACTCAGGTCTTCATGACACCATGCCCAGAGCTCTAGCTACTTTACCATCAAGCTACTCCACAAGCATAAGCAGACAAATCAACAGAAAGGATCCTAACACTAAAAGAAGACTCAGTACTAAATCCTCAAAGAGATTACATAACTTTGTTAGTAAATATTACAAGGCAAAGGAAAGTGAACTAATATCTGTAGAATACCAAAAGAGCGTGGAAAAAAACAAAAGGAAAATATAGAACGAGTCCAGAAAAAGAAATTAAGTATATGAGAGAAGAAATTTGGAATGAATATATGTCATAACTTTAACTCTCAAGGCAGAAATAAAAAAAAATTAGTAGACTAGAAAAAAAATCAAATCTGTGGTGGGGAGTTTCTCGAAGAAAGCAAAAGAGAAAATATTAGGTTTGGTATGTAAAATATTGAAATGGAGGAAAATCTGTCAAAAGAGAAGCTAACAATGAAAGAAAACACAAGACATTCACTTTGAAGATAGGATGTGCAGGGGCAACTTTAGGATCATAGGTCTCCCAGAATAATATGACTGAACAAAAAAATCTGTATAGCAGACTCCAAGATACAGTGGTTAAATTTAATGATTCCAGTGACACCAAGTTCAGCAGTCAGCCAGGATGAAGAATTTTAAATTCAAATAACAAAATTATTCCAAACCAAACAGAAACTGCAAAAATAATAATAGTGGACTAGTATATTCTGCAAAGCAAAGGATCTTAATCTGAAACTTAGAATGACATACCCTGTAAACTTGTATCTATATCTAATCATCAGTGAAAAAAGGTGATCATTCAGCTGAAGAGACTTTCCTTCTCTCCCCACGAAAAAGATATGAACAGAACACTTGACTAGAAAATACCCCAGACAGTAACATACAAATTTAGACACAAGAAAGGTGTAATTACAAAGGAAAGAATAAATAATGAACCCAATGGGTGTAGGTACCCCTTTAAAGAACACTTCATGGGGAAAGAGTCACATTGGAAGATGCAGACTTCATGATGTGGTGCTTTTTGGGGAAGTTAGTACATTCTCTTCTAAGTGTCATGCTTCCTTGTACAACATCTTGTCCCAGGAGAAGGGATATGAAAGTTCTTAGATATCCAGTCAGCCGTCAGAAGAATATGGGAGACATGGACCCAGAGATGAGATGTCATAGTCAGTGGGAAAGCATTATGTGACCAGGATATTGGTAGAACTGGGGCAGTGTGAATTACCTCTCCCCTTCCCCACTCCTCCCTCCCCACACACACATTCACTACTGTAACACTAGCCAGGACTGTTGCAAGCAAGTAAGTTGTGGCGTGGCGCAGACCCACCTAACTGGAAAGGCAAAAAGATATAACTTCTTAAATAAAAGAAAGGAAGAAGGTACTATAAGTAAAACTCCAAAACTAAGGAAAGGATTGACAGATTGGAGTGGGGGGTGGGAAAAGTAGGGAAGAGAGTGTATCAGAACAGGGTCACACCATAGTACTTTCAACAAAATGTATTGCATGGACAACATATTGACTTAAAAGAAAAAAGGGCCTTTTAAAAGTACTGGACACTCTGGAGGAAAAGCTTAAAAAAAAACTTAGGAAAAGCACAAGCCTAACTTTCATAATTTTAAATGTGAATGGACTAAACAATGCAATAAAACAAAAGAGTTACAGAACAGACTGTGTCTCCAGGTAGAACCAGGTCTCCCAGGTGGCTTGCTCTTGGACCTAACTTTGGGTCCTTTGGGTAAGAGGATATAAAAGTAATTTTTGAGTTTTTTCAAAAAGCTCTTGAGACTCCAGAGAAACCTCCTTGCTGAATGATTTATTTCTTATTCTTCCTGCTGGAACTTTTTGTATGTTTTAAACCTCTGGACTGCTTTTAATCCTCCTTGAGAATTGCTTCATTCTGAGGGCATTGGAATATTATTTTAGCCAAAGGCTCTGAGTGGAGCATTACTCCAATGCTGGATAGAGACTCTGGCAGAAGTAAGTGATCACAGAGAGGGTAGGGGGCAATGTCACACTATGTAATTTTGGACACAGTTATTTCTATCATGGAGCACTGCTTTTATCCATATTATATACCTTGCAAATTGATACTTCTAAGAGTGAGACGACAGAAAAAAGTTGCAGTGAGGCAAGATCTATAAAGGCATTAACGTAGTAGTTAGAAGACAGAGCTAAAGCCTGGTATTTTAGAAACCAGCTGCAAAAGGAACATAAATTAAAGGAGGAATAAATAAGGATTTAGACCAATAATCAACAAATAAAATTTCAGAATAGACAAGAAGGGAAGAGAAGTAATGAAAAGAACAAAACAAAATCTTAGGAGAAGGCACAGAAAAAGAAAACTAATAATCAGAAAAAGTTGAAAGGGGAAGGGTTCAACTACTTAACTGAAAGCAGAAAGAAGGATTTAACTCATTAAATAAAATAAAAGAAAAGTAAAGTGAAACCCCCAAACTAAGGAAAGGAGTGACTGTCTTGAGTTGGGGCAGGTGAATCAGGGCAGAAAGCCTGTGAGAATGGAGTCACACCACAGTAGCTTGAGCAGGACAGATCGTAGGGATAACTTACTGACTTAAAAAAGGAAAAGGATTTTTTTTTCTTTTTTTTGCTAGGCAGTGGGGTTAAGTGACTTGCCAAGGAAAGGGATTTTTTAAAAATACTGGAGACATGAGAAGAAAATCTTCAAAACAAAAACAAAACTTGGAGGAAAACTACAAGAATTTTACATTTGAATGGACTAAACAATGAAACAATGTTTATTAGTGTATTATGTGAACAAACCCCCACAATCCTTGGCTTATAAGAAATATGTCTGAAAAGGAAAGACATGTCTAAAATCAAAATGAGAGGATAGAACTAAATTTACTATGTACCAAGTAAATCCAAAAAAAGCAGGGATGCATCAGACAAAGCAGAAATTATGCTGTCAGACAAAGCAAAAATAAAAATTCACTTTATCAATAGAGATAAATGAGGAAATTGCATTTAAAGCTTAAAGGGACCATGTTGAACCTTTGCTCCAAATCACATAGCTTCTAAATTCATTATGTAACAATTAACTGAATTTCTAAAAGAACAGATTACAATACAGTTACAGTAGGAAATGTTAATATTCCTCTCTGAGAGCTGGACAGATCTAATAAGAAGATAAATAAAAAGGAAAATGCTGTACAGAATTGAGCAAGCTTTTGGAGAATTTAGAGCAAAAAGATTTATGTTTGTCTTTTAGAGTTTCTGTGGCCAAAGAACTCATCATCCAATAGCCAGTCTGGTGATGGACCTTTCTGAACTTAGCTTAGTCCTCAGACAACAAATAGAGTCTGTAACCAGGTTCCTTTTTGGAACCTTTGTAGATTGGTGGAGGTTCTGCCACAGATGACATAATGAAGAATCCAAATAGGACTTTATATTCCTTCAGTTACTTTGCTTTAATGATTTTTTATGGTGGTCTTGCCCCTACTGACTCTCTTCCCCGCACTGTGATCCTCTCTTCTCTAACCCAGTAAACGTTTATTGTTGTTTATTGTTTAGTCATTTCAGTCTTGTCCAACTTTTTGTGACCCCATTTGGGGTTTACTTGGCAGAGACACTGGAATGGTTTGCCATTTTCTTCTCTAACTCATTTTTACAGATTTGAACTCAGGAAGATGAGTCTTCCTGACTCCAGGCCTGGCACTCTATCCACTGTGCCTCCCAGTACCTACTATGTGTTAAGTGCTAGGGATACCATTAATAAACAGTAAGACAGGGGCAGCTAGGTGATGCAGTGGATAGAGCACCAGCCCTACAGTCAGGAGACCTAAGTTCAAATCCAGCCTCAGACACTTGACACTTACTAGCTTTATGACCCTGGTCAAGTCACTTAAACCCAATTGCCTCACCAAAAACAAAACAAACAAACAAGCAAAAAACCACAGTAAGACAATCCCTGCCCTCAAAGAGTTCACACTCTAATAGGGGGAGAGAACACACAAGAGGATCCAGGAAAGTGGATGGAGGAGGACTCTCATTTTCTGTGAAGTTGATCCAAGCAGAGCAGCAGATGCAGAGCAGAGTAAGCAAAAATCCAGTTTCTGCCCTTCATAAAAGTAGGCATCGAGAGTTTTGTCTTCCACCCTCCAGTGCAATCAGAGGAGAGAGGAGGCTGAGGGAGGTACTGTCAGTCAAGGCTTCAGTTAGCAATATGGTGGTGAGATTAGAGGTAAAGAGCTTAACCTTGGGGGGGGGTGAACTAAATCCATGGGAGATGGAGGAAACAGAGGTGGCACAATGGATAGAGTGCAAGGCTGGGCAAACCACTCCAGTATCTCTGCCAAGAAAACCCCAAATGGGGTCACAAAAAGTCGGACACTACTTAAAACAACAACAACAAGGACTTGAGAGGTGACATAGTGAACAGAATGGGGCTAAAATCTGTATTTGAATCTCAGACAAGTGCTTTTTCCATCATACCATGGCTCTTTGGGCATTTTTTTTTCAAATGCTATCTTTCCCCCTCTCCCCATACATAAAACAACCTTTATACTTGAAGCCATAGTCTTGAAATATAGTCTTTAAGAAGTTTGAAATTTCTGTTTATATTGCTTATTTCTTAAGTTTATTGTATTTCTGTTTTAAAATGTTTTAGATAACATTTTCAAACACTGAATTAAAGTATTTCTTTTTGCAGACCAATTTTGCAAGAAGAGAGGAAAATAGCGATAAAAAATGGTCGACATCCTGTGATTGATGTGTTATTGGGAGAGCAGGATCAATATGTTCCCAATAGTACAAATTTGTCAGTAAGTATTGTGTTATGATGAAAGCCAAGTAGACAAAGTTAACTTTTGGCCCTGATTGTGTGTGTGTGTGTGTGTGTGTGTGTGTGTGCGCGTGCGCCAAACGCATAATTAATGATTTACCTAAGTTTTCGTTTTACAAGGATCAACACTAGAAGAAGTTTTCTCTATGATGCTGTGCCCCTGTCAGTGCTAGTACTGGTGAAGAAACATATGCTGACTAAAATATTTGGCAAGTAAAGTATTTGCCCTAGTTATCAATTCTTGTTAACTTAGTTAAAAAAAAATCTCATATTCATGTAAATGCCCAAATGAACAGATGGCATTAGAGTCATACTACAGTGATTTGCAGTGATATTTCATTAACTCTTAGTGCCTTATTCTCTACCCTGATCCTTTCCCATCCCCCAACACACATCACTTCTCCAATTTTTTTCTAATCTGGAGTTTTGATCTCTTAATACAGTAAGGACCTAAAACTCTAATGACTTCTGTAACTTAGAATAAATCTCATAGTTTTTTGATATTACATTTTAATATTGTACAAAGCCTTGTTGAACTTTCATGATACCTAATTTCAATAACCTTAGTTCTTATTAAGAAATTGCATAAATGGCCTCATTTATTAGATTAAGCTAATAAACATTAATGCATTTAAAAAAATGCTATGCAAACATATGTTTCTTTTCATTTCCCACAATACCAATAGTTACTTTTAGTTGGAAAAATAGTATAATTGGACCATTTGAAGTTTCTCTAGTTTGGTTTCTATTTTGTTTACAAATTGCTTTAATCATTTGCTAGCACAACTTGAATAATTAATTTATCTTAACCATTTTTATTGGTTTTGAAAAAGCTCATGCTGTTTAATAAGGTATCTTTTGGGAAGCTGAAATATCATTTCTACCAAATTACAAGAAAGTTTCAGAAGTAATGAACCACCATATTAAAACTTTTGCAAAATAAGCGTTCTGTTTTATCCTAGCAGAAGAATACATTTCTGGACGCTCTGAAATATCAGTAGCTTTTATAGACACTTTTTCTAACATTAGTGTAGGAGCTGATGTAGAATTGTTGCTATGGTGAAGTGCATTCTTTGTATGGCATGAATTTATATAAGGATAGAGTTAGGAAAAAAAATTAAGAAAAACTTGTTTTAAAACATTTTATGGTAGGTAATTACAAATCCTACTGTGGAGGGGGGAAATCCTTTTAGCAGAGAGCACAGCTAATTTTGATAATGATGTAATTTTAAAAGTCAGCTTTTTTGGAACATATGCAATTGAGATTCCGTATTATATGAAGTTTTTCACATATTGCTTCTGATAATAGCCATTTTTCCAATGATTGCCCTCTAAGCTATGCTAAGCACTTTCTTGTATTCTGGGACTGAAGAAACAAAGCAAAAAAAGCCCTCTAAACCTCCTTTGCTTCATCTCCTTGATTTTTGACATCATCTATAAACCTTGTATACCTGCATGTTAGTCATAGCTGCAAGAACTGGCTGATTCATCTCCCAAAAAGGCTCTACAAAGCTCTGAGGAATCTCATTTAAGTACACATTTACTATAAGCACCAACAAACTACAGAGAATACTTGGGGCTTGGGTATTTTGCCTACTCATTCCCAGTCTTAAGCCTAAATGTACATTTTGTGCTCTAGGTACTGTCCATGGCATTCAGTGCCTTGGAGCAGCTAACCCCACTTGTTCTAGCCAGCCTTATTTCTCAATACTCGCCAATAAGATCATCCGCTCTAATCAGACCAGTCTCTTTATTCTCCCTCCAGAATAATTTTTTTCTGTGCTTTTATTTGTTATTTCTCCAGGCAGGAATAGCAAATGTCCTCTTTTCTGCTTATCAAAATTCTGCTTTTCTTTCAAGGCCAAATTAAGTTACAAACTAATCTAACACATTCGGGTCTCTCTTGTCTCTGAGCTTCCCTGTGGGAAAAGCTACACTCCTGTAGTCTTTGCTTATATTCTGTCATGTGATTTCCTTTAGTTATTCATGTATATAAGACTTGTCTCCCACAAAAAATTATGAGCTGCCTAAAGAAAGGGGGAAAGTGCCTTTTATTTCTTTTATTTCTAAGAGCACCTAGCATGGTTCTGAACAGTAACCACTGCTTAATAAGTATTGGTTTATGATTGGGGTTGTATCTTTTAGGCACAATGAGTGAGTGCTGCAGAGAGGGTAAAGGCATGCTTGCTTCCAAACATACTCCCAGTACAGTTGTTCACACCTGTTGCTGGGTAGCTCAGAGAACTGAACTTTGGGTCCCCATTGACTTTTCCAACATTGCTTTTCTTTTTGATGCAATATTATAATGATCTTACTTCTTGCTCTTTTAGACTACTAAAAAACCCCATAGAAGCCCAGTTCTTCTCTCTTAATGATTTAGAGCTGAGTAGTAGCAGGTGAAAAAGTGAACTGTTTAAATGCATATTATAAATATATAAACTATGATAATTTAGCATAAAGGTTTGTAAATGAAACCTGGATTTTACTACCCATTCAGAGCCCAAGGTGTTTTATAGTTCTAGGGATAGGTCATAGATATGTTTGAGGGAAAGATAGAAGATAGATGGAAGTGGAGGGAGGAGCCTATATATTTATCTTGGGTGAGGAGTGAAAATTGAATCTAATCACTTTGAATCTGCTTTTGTCACAAATCCTAGGGTTCTTTGTTCAAGACTTTTAGCAAGGTTGCCAGATATAACCCTAATCACAGAAGCAAGGCAGTTCTTTGTGGAGGATAGGAAAACCAAAGCTAATGATAATAATTAGTGTGTGTGTATGTGTTGGGGGGGAGTGGTTCTTTATTACTGATCCTCACAACAGTGTGGTTAGATAGATACTATTGTTATCCTCATTTTACAGAGGAAACTGAGGCAGAGAGGTTAAATGACTTGTCAAGGGTCACACTGCTAATAAATCTCTGAAATGGAATTTGAACCCAGATTGTCCTGATTCCAATTCTACCATTCTAGCCACTAAACCATACTTCTCTCTATATGCACCCAAGCTATACTCAGAAGCCTCTTATATGCCATACGAAAAAGCATGGAGAGCCAGAGCCCCTGAGCTGGTTTTTGAACGTGGCTCATTACATGACAGTTTTGGTACTGCTTGTGTTGGAATGAGGAAAAGGAAGAAAACAGGTTGACATCCTCTTAATGGCAAAGTGGGATGGCTCTTGTGTTCTTGGTGTGGTTTTCCCTGTTCATTTTTGTTGTATTGCCCCATGTTGTATGTGTCTCTGGGGAAGTCTTGTGTATTGAGTTGTGATGTTAGTTGTGGGCTTCCCGAGGACAACAGTTTAACAAAGGGTTTATTCACCATAACTATCACAAAGTCAGTAACAGACACATCCTCAATAACACTTTGTTATCATTCCCTATTCTCTGGCATGCTGCTCTCACACTCATAGTTGGAAGGGGCCTTGGAAACCATCTGGTCTCCTCTACAACATACCTAGCATATGATGATCCAAGCTGTGACATCAGTAAACATTTATTATGTGCTTACTGTGTGCCAGGCGTGTTAGGTATGTTTCTTTAAAAAGTCAATAACAGCCTCTGCCCTTGAAGTTTACATCTTAATGGAGGAGGCAGTACGTAATAACTAAATACATTCAAGATAAATCTGGAGTAGATGAAAGGGACGCTAAAGAAGGAGATCCCGCTAGTTTCTGAGGCAACTCAATCCACTCTTGAGTCTCTCCAGAAATTTTTCCTTATATCATGTCTAAATCTGATTGTCTGCAACTTTCACTTATGGCTTCCATTTCTTCCATTTGGGGTAAACAGAACAAATGTGATCCTTCTTCCATGTGACAATCCTCCAAGTAGTTGAAAACAGTTCTAAGCTAAACATTTCCAGTTCTTTCAACCATCACTCATATGGCACGATGCCAAAGCCTACCCTGGTCACCCTCAAAATTCAGTGTTCTTCGTAAAACATGATGAGCAAAACTGAGCACAGTACTCTAGATGTAATCTGACCAAAATACTGACAGAATATAGTGAGACTATAACTTGTGTCTTTCTGAACACTAAACTTGCATTAGATATTTTTGGCTGCTATATTGGGCTCTTCACGTATATTCAGCTTTGATTCCACTGACCTCTTAGTTATTATAAAATCTCTTATCTCCCTGTCTTGTACTTGTGAAATTAATTTTTTTTAAACCTAAGTATTGTGAGACACTTGAGTCCAAGATCAAGGAAACCTGACACTGGAATCCACAGTGGACTGCAGATTTTACCTGGCTTCTGTCATCAATTTCTTCTTTTTTCCAGCCATGTTCTTACTTCTACTTTCAACTTTGTCTGTGTGCACAATTTTAAATTTGCTACTGAGGTTACAGAATTTGGTGATCATTTCCCTCAGTCTCCATCCCATCACCCACCATAGTCAGCAAATATAGTAAGCTCCCATTTATCCAGAATGGTCAAAGATTGGTTATTCTTATTAGTTTATTATATTCTAGTTAACTGAGTTACTCTGTACCTGAATTACTGGATGGAGCAGAGAGGGGAGGGGAGAAAATTCCCTTGGCTTGATGCCCATCAGCTACTCATATGCAACTTCTGTTAGAGGTTTGCTTGGGTCTCTAAGAAGCTGAGTAACTTGCCTATATTCACACAGCTACCTTTGTGTTAGACACAGGACTTGAACCTGGGTTTTCTTGATTTCTGGGCTTTTTTTTGCTTTGCCTCACTGATACTTGTACATGGATTGCCAATGTTCAAATAACTACAATTAATCAAATCTATTTAACATTAAGCAATAAAGTAGACATAATTTAATCTCTGATTGTGAAATAAAGAAATTAAAAGACCCTAAGGTCATAATAATGAATATTAACCATATAATAACCTGGAAGCAGAGGGTGGTTCCAGTAATTTGGGCTTCCTGATACGGATAATAAAGAAATAGGAATCCACTTCATCTGCGATTGCTGATTTTTCCAAATGCAGGCTGGTTCATGACTTAGCT